AAAGCTGTTACAGCCAGTTCTATATTTTTCGTTTCCCCCCCCCTACTAGGCCTATTGACGAAATTTAACTTGTGTTTTTTATGTTTCAAAAGCGCGACTTAGGATATATATTAGATTTATATATCGCATTGTTCTAACGTAGGTATCCTAACACAAAATTGGACTTCTTTGGATAGACATACCTATTTTTTTTTCCATACCTTCGGTTCTACGTCTCAAATTAAGCCAAAGTTTTGTAAAACCGCACGAGTAGTTTTTCAAAAAATAGCTTTCACAATTTTAGCTCTTCAGTGTTAATTGAATTTGGTATATATTTACCAATAGCTCTTTTTTTTAGTCAAACTTACTTGAGCCCTTCTTTCACAATTCGAAGTTTAGATTCAATCCAAATGAAATTTGCAGATATGTTCTGATTTATTTTTAAAATTTATATTTTTTAGTAATTTTTATAAATTTTTTGAAAACATTTTTGAATCATAACTTGTAAGGAATATGTTAATTTTATTAACAGTTAAATTTTAAGTTCCTTTCCTGTCAAATTCTTAACTTCAACTTACTACTTCCGGCCAGAACGTAGTTTTGGAATCACTCTGATACTTAATGAGGAGGAGCAGTATTTAAACCGCGAAGTCTACTTGCTGAGTTAGAGAGGATCAGTGTTTCTGATTTGCGCGCGTCTGCCTTTTGGCTACTCTCTATCAAAGCTGTTATTACGCTCGGCCGTACTCAGGCCCTTGATAAGCTTCGTAGTCAAATGGAATTAAGAGGCCAACTAGTCCAGAATCTTGATAGCTTCGGCTATATCTCTTTTAGTTAATCTTAGTTTTAGTTTATTTCTTAGTCTCTTAAGTTCAAGCCCAAGTGTAGGCTTTTATTGTACACTTCAAGACGGAGTTTTGTTAAATCTTATTGGAATAATAAAGGGTTAGCTACACTTCCATTTTGTTGTTTCTTGTTACACGAACTTAAGCGATTATTCGCTAACCAGTTCTTAAGATTCGTCACTTTCTACAGTAACTGAGAAATACACTAGTGAGAATCTTATAAACTTATAAAACTTTTATCGTCACCTTAAAGTAGATATATTTCTAGGCATACCTGCAAAAAAATAGAGTTTTTTTTATCCAAAATTTCTCAAGATATATGCGAGTTTATACACTGGCGCGTTTTGAAAGTAAGCATGTTTGTTATAAGCGATAATGACGCCAAATGTGGTTTACGAACTTAGGTAAAATTGCTTGAAAGAATGAACAACGCAGCTTTTTTTTTTTTTTTTTTTTTTTTCTGCTCGTACACAATGAAAAGGGAAAGAAAAATATGTTACCATAAATTAGGAATTCTACCAATTGAATTATTCTTGGTTCAAACTGTTAGAACTTTTCATAGTACAGAGGGCGCTGTTGCGCTGAAAGAATTCTTCTGTGTTTTTACATTATGAAACTGTAAGTTCGCCGTAGCGATGTGTCTGAATTACTGTGATATTTTTTGGTGTTTTCATTAATTATAAATGAAAGATATCGTCATGTATTTTCGTTCGAACAAGAATCGTCAAGTTATTACTCGCCTTTCGAACTACGCATTCGTATCGTTAATCGCTTCGTAATACAAACAAAGAAAACTGCTCCAAGATAAACTTTTAAATTTCTTTGTAAGTTTCTCACCAAATTTTATAAAATTTAATATTTAGGCATAATTTGAGTCTTAGAATCAAAATATGAAAAAAATCGGTATGTCATTTCAGAAAAATATGATTTGTGTTAAAATACCTATGTTAGAAGAATGCTATTTATAAATCTAATATATATTCTAAGTCGTGCTTCGAGATACGGAAAACGCAAATTAATCGGCCCAGTACAACGGAAGATATATAATTGTCCTATATTTTTTTTTTGCAAAGTGTACCTTAAGCACGAACGAAATATTAACTACTTAGTATTTGCTGGTAAATTATTTCAAGAATTTAATTGAAATTTAATACAGATTAATTCGTTCCTGGAACTGCTATTTAGTAAACATCTAGTTACATAAAAATATAATGGATATTTTTTATTGATAAACTTTAAATAAAGCATGATAAATTACAAAACATTAGGCACCTAAAAACATTAAACCAAATATTTGATAACAAGAATTTGCTTGAAAATAGTTAAATGTTTTGGCTTTGTACATTGTAAGAAGCTTGTGACTGAATATGAATACATGCTTAAAATGTAATACTGCACGGAAGTGTATTAATTAAGTAGCAATTTAATTTTCGCCGAGCTATTAACTTAAGATTGCTTAAATTATTATTTTGGCAAGAAGAGTTATTTTCTCACTGTCGAACAATATTAATTCATAAGTGTGCCATAAGCCGGTTAAATTACAATTACGCTATTAACTTATAACAAATGATTTATTCTGCAAAAGTCTGCAACGAAGTTAATATTCATTAGGCAGTTAAAATGTTAATATTTTTAGGTAACAACGATCAAATTAAGAAAAGACAAGAAAATTTAAAAGTTCTTTCTTACATTAAATCTGATATAATGAAAAGTTAATTCACACGAAAGAATATTGTTTTCCCATGAGTCTACAACATTAAGTTAATATTCATTAGGCAGTTAAAATGTTAATATTTTTAGGTAACAACGATCAAATTAAGAAAAGACAAGAAAATTTAAAAGTTCTTTCTTACATTAAATCTGATATAATGAAAAGTTAATTCACACGAAAGAATATTGTTTTCCCATGAGTCTACAACATTACAAAATACAGGAAGCATGAAAAACTTGTTTAATTTATTTATTTATTCTTTTTATTTTAGCTCAAGCAGCTGTATAGGTGGCAGAGCATGGATTACTCGAAATCATCATTTACTCAACATATATTATAAGATTATTATATAAATTTAAATAAGGAAATGAAGAAATTTCTGTGTGAAATTTTAAGATGCCATTAAAATTAATTTTAAATTTAAAAATTTAAATTCAGTTGAAGTTTTCAAGCGTTATTCAAAAGAAATAATTTAATTTCACTTCAGAATTTTTTTCTTTTTAATTAAGGAAAAAATAAGCTTAGCAAAGACAGCGTTCATATTGTGCATATTTTTTTGGCCTGCAATTCAGTTTCGAAAAGTGATAAAAAGAAACCAAGCGTATGGGACTTGAGAAATGTTTGGTTAACTCCTAGTTATTAAGTTTCAGAAATCTCAAATTGATTTTAAATGTTCGTTAACTGCTTCCCGATGATGATAAAAGCACATGGAAATTTATTCTTTCAATTATCCTTCTTCTGTCTTTATTTGAATTTTAAGAGTTTTTTTTTACTATCACGTAAAATTTCGTTTGTTCTCATTGAAATAGTGAATTTGATTTAATTCCTTTTTCCATATTAATGTCTTTACTTAGTTGAAAAATAACTTTAAATAATTTGTGTTTGTTTGATGCTGTTTATTATTCTACGTTAGCGACTGCAACAGAGTCATCTAGCAGTCTGCTGTATGGAAGTAGAAATCTCTATGTAGAATACTAATTTGATGATGTTTCAATATGATACATAATAAGAGATTTTAAAATAAAGAGAAAATATAGATTTTAAGAATATTAACATTATTATTATTTTCAAAAATCTAGGTAATTTTCACATTTTATCTCAATCTGTAATTTGAACCATTAGTTAATGTGACTAATAAAAATCATCTTCAATTCTCGGAAAAAAAACTTTAATGTGATATGTCACATTGATTAATAGTGGATTACTAATATTTCGATAAGAATGTATACGACATTCCTGTAATGTTTATACCGTCTTTTAAAATTCACATTGCTATGGTATTCCATTTGCTATATTTATTGTTTTGAAAAATACAAACAGGAACTTACGCTCATTTCTATTACGTGATACCGTTCTGATTCTTTCTAAAAATCTCTTTTTCATTGTATTTTAACAAGTAATCATTTCATATCTTCTAACCCTACTGACATTTGGCAAACAAGTATCGCATAATACAGAGTGTTTATAAAGTCCCGGACCCATTTGGATGTTTAATAACTCATAAAATAATGAAGATATAAACAAACTTATGGCATTTATTGATGGAATAACTTATATATTTTCCTTTTCAGGTTTAACTATCTTTTTGTAAATATCGTCTGCGCGTGTGGTTAATTTCAGATAATTTAATTTTCCATACTAAATATCTGTACTTTTCTAAATATCGTCTGCTTATTAATTGCATTTTCTCTCTTTTGTTTTTGGCATCTCTCTGGCATTGTTAATCGCCATAATGTGCGCATATGGGGATCTGAAAACCCCTTATGAATACCGTGAGGCTCAAAGGGATTCTCCAAAGGTTAATGTGTGGTGTGGACTAATGCACGATAGAGTCATTGAGCCTTCCTTTTTTTTTTGCAGAAAAGACGGTCTCATCAGTCGTATACTTAGACATGTTGGGAAACTTCGTATTTCCAAAACTAGAAGAGCTTCAGCCACATGTCATTTTGCAAGAAAATGGTGCACCACCTCATTGGGGTACCATCGTTCACAGTTCTTTGAATGACCATTTTACAGGAAGATGGATTGGACGAGGAGGTCCAATTCCTTGGCAACCCAGATCACCTGATATAACGCCGCTGGACTCTTTCCTTTGGGGATTTGTAAAGGACAACGTTTACAGGAGGAGAGTGTCGAATATTGATGACCTAAAAGCCAGAATTACAACCGCAATAGCCTCTGTGGATGCCGACACGCTTGCCGGTACCTGGCGTGAAATTGAACATCTATTTGATATTCTCCGCACGACGAAGGGGGCACACGTGGAAGTTCATTGACAAGGGTCATGAAACGTTTTGAGTCTATCTAACCATTTATGTTATTAATTTTAATCTATCTTTATTATTTTATGAGTTATTAAACACCAAAATGGGTCCAGGACTTTATAAACACCCTGTATTTTACGCACAGTCAGACAAACCGAATTTTAAGATCCACCACCAATTTTAAAATTTGACTATAATAACTTTTTTTTTAAGGAAATTATTTCCAACAACTACAAATACCGATGAGCAGCATTCATCTCTTAGCACTGAGGCTTTCTTCAAATTAAGTATCCATGTAAAATTTTTCGGTTGTTCACAAAGCATATAATTTCAACACCATAGTCGCAATGCTTACCCTAAATCTAACATTTTGAGCATTTATCTATAGTATATTACCCATTTAAAAAGCTAAAACTATGAAAAATTCGCGTTTGGAATTCGTCTGATAGTACCATTTCATAAAATATTCATCCTTTTTTAAAAATGCAAAGCGATAAATTTAAGCAAAAATATACTGCATTTCAAAGTATATTTTTTAAAACTTCCATGAATAATGAAAGATATTTCTTAGTACGTCATATGCACGTTTAATACACATAGTTGACAGAAATAACTAATGAAAAACCTTGATTTGAATTACAGCTCTCATTAACAAATTATATACCTCCTCTTTAACTGCACATAAAAAATTATTAATGAAGCTTTCAGAAGAGCGCAATTAAAAGTGATGAAGATGTGGATTAAAGTGATTAAGTTCACTGGCTTAATGCACAGCAAGAGATAAATATTTCTTTTTTTTTTTTTATGAGAACCCTTAATGCACAAGAACACTAAAGCAGTAATTGAGGAGTATTTTGGTCCCTGCTATTAATTCAGCTCTATTAGTGTATCAGAAATGCGTTTGCAGTTTCAAATATCTGTAACAGGTTTTTTATTCCTTTATTATAATGAAGATGGCTCAATTACTTAAACTCTTAAAGTCGGCTGTTTAGTGTTTGATAGTGATTTCAGAGAACAAATTTGGTTAGCTGAAAGAGTATTTTCTAAATTAAATGGGATATAGAACATTTAGAGAAAGAATGGAGTAGGTATTAAAATTATTGCTTTGATATACATCTGTTTTTGTAAATGAAAACATTTTCTTGTGTACATGAAATAAAGTATTCAATATTATTCTTTTCGCGAGGTCTGTTTTATACAGCATGTAAAACAATTCTGTATCAGTTGATGTTGTTAAACAGGTTTTGTAAGTAAATGTTATATGATAATTTAGCATTTAGCACAGTTTCAAATAAAAATAAGGAGTTTTATGCCATTTGAAGAAAAATGGCATGCACATTTATTGTGTTTTCTTCACAGTAAGTATTTATATTTTTATTTCTCATCACAATAGATATCTGAAACACAAAGCTTTCGGAATTTTACTTCAAAGATAGTAGCGTGTTTTGTAAGGTTGGTAATTTCGAAACATTGGTAAACCAGCTAATAAAAGACACAAGAAGTGGTTTAGAATTTATATGCTTAACACTGATAATCTTTCCCACTATTTTAAAATACCTAATAAAAAGAAATGCATTTTAACAGAAGAAACTATTAAAATTTGACAGCCACAGTTTTATCTCTGCGTGATTTCCACCAAATTTATGTTTAAGAATCATTCTCAGTAGTTATACAGCGGTAGATTTTATGAATGTTCCTCCAGAATTTCGATTAACTTAGTATAGGTATCTTAAGTTATAAAATTATGATTTTTGATAGATCATACAATTATATTCAAAAATTCATTTCGAGCATTTGAGATCGTGGGCAAACAGATAGATGATCTTGCTTTGAAAGGCTTCTCTCTTGGTTATAACACAGAAATATTTCTTTGAAGACCAAATGTTTTCTAGGAAAAATTTAAACGGTGGTTAGTAGGACAACTATATTAAACTCAGTGACAGCATTCTCTTATTCAGTAGGCCAGTTGAAAGTAATACCAGCTTGTCTGAAGAAATGGCGGTTGTGTGGCTCATAAAACTTCCTCAGAGTTCTTACCACTTCTGGAGAAACAGAGGGATGCTTTCTGCCCTTACTGTCGTTCAGACACTTATCAGCTGTTGCATTTCGCACGCAGAAAAATCCCTTTGTCTCGTTGTAGTAGAAATTCTTCTTCAGCACCCTGTGGCCCAAACCTAAGAAATCCTCAATTTTTTGAATCTCTTGGAAAGGATCCACGATAAGATTGTCGCCATCGACAATGTGAATCTGATTTCTAGGGAACGTCCTCAGCCAACGGGGGAAAAATAAAGAATACATGCCAATTCGTACAGCTTTGTAGCCCGTGTTGACCGTTCCGTCAGATCGGAGCACCAGATCTTCAAAAGACGCCAGCGTTCTCTCTTTTCTGGCTTTGTTGGAGGCCAGCTGTGCGTAGTCCGATATCAATCTCGTAACCGGCTCCCGGACTATAAGCAGTAGCCTGACTGATGGGTTCATCTTTCGGATTCTAGCCGGAACTGATGGGGTTATGAAGTAAGCTGGACTTTTCTCCACAGTGATCTGTCCGGGAAAGGAGTAAGGCATCCGACGCCTGTACCAGTCCAGTCCTAAGGAGTATTTATCGTCATCGTCGAAGAAGTGGATCTCTTCTGTTGCTTTTTGAATCATTGGATGCAAGTTGAGGAACTCCAACAATGCCCGAGTCCCGCATTTGCGTGCCCCAATGATGATACACTGAGGAAGGCGTCGCTTTGTCCTCGGGAAACGCAAGCGTACTCCCTCGGAAAGCCTTTAAGAAATAGAAGAAAAGAGTATTACATTTAACATTAACTTTGTATAACAGTAATATCAATAATAATAATAACAGTAGCAGTACAAATAACAATCTTATTGAGCCATCAGTATATTAAAATATAAAGCTCTGGATGTTACATTAAAATTCAATTCATTATTTTCATTCAAATGCTGCTTACCTAATTTTATGCAGATAGATTAAAAAGTATAAAACAAAAAGAGGAAACTAGATAGATTTGTATAATATAAGATACACAGCAAATGCAAAATTTTTTATTTTGAGAGAACTTTAGTTAATAATTTTTCTTTGCATGAAGGGCTTATAAAAATTTTTAATTCTTTATACTTATGAACGAGCTTAATTTTTGCCATTCAAAACGCAATTCATTTTCTTTTAACAATACTACATTGTGCCAAACTTAAGTAATAAATCCATTTTTTAATATACAACTATGAAATTGTTGAAAAGCGATTTGCGATCAGTACAATGAAAAGACAAGAAAGGCGATGCATATGCAAATATCAGTACTATGGCATCTGATGGGTACGTCAGAGCATGCCAAAACACGAGGAGTCAGCTCGCACGGTGCAAGGCAAATTATAAAGAAGTACGAAAGGCGTATTTCCAGGCATTCTTCTTATATGTGCAGCATAACTACAAGAAAACATCAAGGCGCCTTTATACGTGATAGACGGTTGGCAAGGTTGTAGAGGGGTGTAGTTTGACGTCTGCCGCTTAATTGGGAACTGATAAAAGTGTTGTTTCAGATGCTTAGAAAGCCTTTCAGACGACAGATACAGTTATAAGAAAAGTTGGTGATGATCAACTAAGGAAACCAACGGTGACTGCTCACCGAAATATCACCCTGCAGGCAAAAGAGATCGAAATCAGACAGCGGGCAATATTGCTCAGCAGTTGCGAACAGCAACCGGAAGACTAATCTCCCGATTTAGTGTAGCCAAACGATTTCATAAAGATGGCCTATTCGCCCGCCGTCCTGCACGCTGCATACCATTGACAGCAGCCGACTAGCGGCACCGGTAGCAGTGGTGTAGACACACAAAGACTACACATCTTATCAATGGAAATAAGCCTCCTTTGATGATGACAGTTATCCCCCCCAAGTGTGTCTTTTGCGGGGGTGCCACTAGTTCCGACTTTGTTTTTATGGATGATAATACAAGGCCACATAAGACTCATACTGCTCTCAAAAGTGAAGATATCCACAGAATGTACTGGGCAGCGAGCTTCTCTGATTTAAATTCCATTGAAGATGTGTTAGATACTTTAGGGAGACACCTTGCGGCACGATCGTACCATCCACCAACCGGAGAACATCAGACAACCGAAACAGATGTTCCTTGAAGAATGTGAAATCTTACCCCCAAGAACTGTAAGATAAATTGCTGCTGAGTATCTCAAGATAGTGCAACGCAACCATTGCAGTTAAGGGATGTCATATCTCTTATTAAGGCTCTTTGGTTAGCTGTTATTCCTCTTGGATAGACAGTTTTTTGTACCAACGCGATGATGTCAATACAACCTTTTGTTGTACGTTCCGTACTCTATGTGTCCTATTCATGTTTTTATTACTATACTTTAAAATATTATATTAAAGTATAATATGTTAAATACTATATTATGCCACTGTAGCATGAATTTCACGTCTCCCAGTTGATATTTTGTAGAATTACGACCAAAATAAGGAAATTTGCTACTAATTTTGCCCATTAGTGTATATTATTTTGCCTAATAATAATAATTATGATTGGAACAGTGTGAGGAGGAATAAATAAATGATGATTAAAAAGAAGCAAGTCAAATACTAATTTATTATTTACTATTCAATTTTACGAAGACAAAGTGTACTTTTAAAATTTGAGTAATAAAATCTAACTATCCAAACGGAAGGACTGGACTATATTATTAGATTACGACAAAGCGAGCGGGAGCTATTTCCCTATCCAGGGCAAAGTCATCAGCAAAAATGCAGTAAAATAAAAAATAAATAAATAAATAAATAAAATAAGAATAAATGTTATTTCAAATAGAAGAAGATAAGATATTTAAATTGCTAATCAAATTTTATTTCCTGAAATACAAAATTTTTAGAAAGGGGAAAATGATTATATTCTCGTGCTCCACTTCTGTTTAATATGTTCAATATGTTTCTTTCAAACACCTGTTTCTCACTATTGGCTGCGTCAAAGTGCAACAAGATGACCATATATCGTGTTCTTGGATTTCCAAGTCCCCAGAAATTGATACAAAGTTTAAAATCTGAACTCCAGCGATTTATTTCGCTGAGGAATTTTTAAAGAAAACTGCGTGGGTTTCACTTTCACTAGTAGAACTCTAGCAAAAAAATCTATTGCAGCAGTGCTTCCGACAGCTACAGAGTAGCTATAGTGCGTGTAGCACGAAGTTGACTATTACTTTATAATTTCATGTATAATTATTTATAAATTTCCATATGATAAATTTAACATAACGAGCTTTCATCCTTTCTATATCAGACATTTTATGATATTATTTGTACTGTAAGAAATAAAAGTTTGTAAGAAAGTAATATTTCCTTCCTCCTCTTAGACCATTGGTTCCAACGAGGTCAGTATTGACCTCTGTGGGTCGATACAGTTTTAAAGGGGTCAATAAAGGGGCTGGCCGAATATGTACCAACAACTGATCGGCATACTCAAGATTTTATTAGTTACAAAAAGTATTAATAAAATTGATAATTACATATTTATTTACATAAAACATCCCGTGATAAGGAACAAATCATATAAATTAACGTAAGGGAAAAATAAACTAAAGTTATATATTTTTGCAAATCAATAACATTAAAATATATATATATATATATAAATATTTTATGCAGTAAGTGCAATATAAAAAAGTAAAACACCAGAATATAAGAAAACGAAATAAAAAATATCAAGAACGCAAAACTAGAATGGAAAACGAGAACCAGGTTGAATGTGTTTGAACGAGGTTATTCAGTTAAGCAATTTTATGCCAAATATTAAAACAATTGCATCGATACATCAAGCGCATGCATCACATTAATTAAAATCGAACTTTTGTGCACTTAAAATCTGCGATTTTGTTTCTGAAAACTTGTTTATATTTCTAAAACCGATAATAATAATTATAATAATACAAAAATAATTAAACATCTAATAAAACATTTTTTTTTCAAAACTTTCTTTCATATTCTTAATACAATTGTTATCTTCCAGTTATTTATGTGCAATTATTTGCATTATCATTATGTTGCATACTGCATATTATACAGAAAAATGTAAAAGGATAGATGAAGAAATAAGGGGTCGATAGAAAAAAATGCTAGGGAATCCCTGTCTTAACGTATCTTTACTACTAACGTATATAATGTTAACGTAAATAACGTAACGCCTCATATAGGACATTTCAGAAAAATAGTTGCGAATTTTATTTGTTTAAATACCAGCTCTATACTCTCACTTTAAAACAAAAGCATTAAGGCCAACCTGTTCGCTTCTCTCATTAACATAGTAACAATTGCCGCCTTTGATTTCCGAATAAACGTTTCTCACGCGGGAGGGGGGGACTGCAAGTGCCGCCGACGAAAGATAAGGTATTTACTGCTCGCTTCAGAGATAAATATTTTCGGAGTGATCAGTAAAGGCCAATTTAAACCAATGCGATCACACGTTAGCGCGCAAAGCGGTAACCAATCCGAAACCAATTCAGGAGTGGTGTTTTCCAGATGGCTGGAGACTGCGCAAGTTGACTCCAATTTTCCGCGGCTTGCCACCTCTTTCAGATACCTTGTTTCAGTTTCGGCAAGGGTTTTTAAATGAATAGACTTTCAAAAATTCTTCTTGAAGAAAAAATTAAATCAAATGGAATAATCTTCATCAAAAAATTTAGATCTTATCTAAAGTGTATAAATTAATGCAGTAATTAAATAAATTATTTGAAAGGAAATTCTGAAGTTTATGAAGAGTAATTAACCATAATTATGAACCAAAAATGAGATAGAGTTGAAAAGTTTTACGTAATAATCCAACGGACTAATGTGAAAGCAGCATTAGTTCTTCAAACTACAGAGCAGAAGATTGCAGGTTCTGTCCTCACCGGCAGCAGAAATCCAAATGAACATGCATTTCACAGGCGCCCTCTATTGGCGAACATCGCCATTAAAATATCCAATTAAAAAATACGAGACAAATTAGTTCACTATATTAATCATAGAAGGCCAATCGCGATACCGGCTAGATCTAACAGCAACAAGCAGTGATGACAACAACAACAACAACAACAACAACAAAAAAAAAAAAAAAAAAAAAAAAAAAACTTTGCCGCATCCCATACTTCAGTTTAGAGCAGGTGGTTAATGACTACGCAAAAGACAGTTGTCTCAAATAAAGAAGAAAAATTAATATTTCAGTAGGGAGATGGTAATATATGCTACGAGCAAAATCAAGAAGGAGAACTATTTTGATACAGGTGTTTTAAAACAAGGGTAGACATACAGTGGTGGCCAAAATTGTGGACACTTTTTGGAAATTTTTATGTTTTTGAACTTTGTATGCTTATAGAAAATGTTACGTTTCGCAAAATGCAAACTTGTATATATCATTTTAAAGAGAATTTAGTACTGAATTCAATACAAAACACAAAATTCAATTATTTGCAATACAAAAAAGTTACATGTACTTTCATATAAATAAAAAACACAGTTATGAAGTGGTTTGTAATGTCTAGCTTTCCTGGCCAATCACTGTTCTTGTTCTGAGAACCAATCAAATGTTAGTAACTGCCAGTAGAAGCTGACATCATGTTTACACTTGAAACAATTCATTATTTTGCTTTGTTCTGTAGAAGGAGGACCTGTTTCTTATACACTGCAATTGCAAGTAGGAATTTTTGTAAAAATTTTTAATATTTAGTCAAGAAGCAATGACATCAAATAAAAGAGTAGATTGGACACCTAGAAAGAGATGTAA